GGAAATGGAGAAGCCCAAGAACTTATATGTACAACCCATGGACATGAACTAAGAGGGGGGATGCTGGAGGAAAGGTGGGTAAGGGTGGAATGGGATAAAGGAGAGAAAAAATGGGACAATTGTAGTTGTATAATAAAATATACTTTTAAAAATTAATGAATTAAGTAATTCAAACCAGTGGTGGAGTCCACTACACTGTGACAAGAGAGAGCACATATCCTACCTTCCAGTTGTGCTGTTCGTTTTCCTAACCACTGCTTGGCTATCCCCTCCAGTCACCAGGGAAAAAGGAAGCTGCATGTAATAAGATCCCAAGACACTGACTTTGCCCAAGGTCACTAGTGAGTCATGGGGCAGGACTTATTTTGAAGGCCTGGCTCTTCCTGTCTGCCTGCCCACTGCTCTCACCCCTTCCCAACCCAAACAGGCTGCAGACAGGAAGATTAAAGCAGCTTCTGGCCAGGTTCCTTTTTCTGCCCCACCCCCCTTCTCTTCCCCTCATTTGAGTCCTTGTGAGTTAGAGGCACTTTCCCACCACCCAGGACTTCTCAGCACTCACCCTCCCCACCTGCATAGCCTCTCCCTACTGTGACTTCAGCTTCTAGGCAGGCTTCTGACATACAACTCCAACAGGGTCCCCTAGTGCCTGGCTGGCCCATCACCACAGATACCAATGGTCCTAGGCAAGCTGCCTCAGAGGATAGGCCCCATAAGACTAGGGAGCACCAGCTGCATCAGTCACCACTCCTCAGACATAACCAGTCCTCTGGTTGACCTTTGAACTTCCAGTGGCCTGTTGTCAATCATGATTCACCTGACCTCAAATCCCCGACTTCCTCATTCCCCAAAGGTGCTTCCCAAGGCTGCTGTCAGTGCTGCCCTTCGCTGGCCAGACTTAAGAGGCAGAGAGGGACTAATATGCAGAAGGAACGATTATCTGGGGTCCCATGACTTGGGGCTACTGGAGGTCTGGGTATATCTCTGCACCTGAGCCTAGGTTGAAGAGCAGTGTGAGAAGCAGGAACCCCTTGGGAGTGGGAGAATTCAGGACACAATTATTTGAGCCAGTCTGCATTTGCTAAAGCCTACAGGGCTCTGCAGGAGGGTGAGTGGCTTTGCCTCCAGATCAACTTGAACTGAACACTGAGGTGATGAAGGATTGCACAGCTCTGATAAAAGGAAAAGATGCTGGAGATCACTAAGGTGTGTGGGTAAGAGTAGAGACCACACCACATAGATCAACTGTGTGGCCTTAAGCAAGTCACCCGACCTCCATGAACCTAAGACCACTGTGAAGTGGGGATCATGACAGCACCTACCAAATGAAAGTGTCATTTAGGAGAAACTAAAGCGGGCGTGAAGTATACTGAGCACAATGCCTGGCATTCAGGCAGGGGACAGAGAAACAGGAAGTTACTGCTCCAAAGCCTGCTGGCCCGGCACACTTCTGGTCACCTGCGGAGACCTGGTAGGGTCTGTTCTCCCTCTGGAAGCATCTGTAGGCATCAGACATGGCTGTCATTCTAAGACATCTGTTAGGCCCTGAGGATCAGCATCATCACACAGGAGAGCATGTCTAAAAGCCCACTGGGTACCCAAAACCCAATCACTACAGAGAAAAAGAAGAGAAGCAATCAAGACCTCCCGGTTCCTTGCCACCTTCTGTGATAGCTCATGAGGTACCACTGTCAACTCTCTTATGAATGGACACCAAGTATTCCTAGCTTGCAATGGCCAAGATGGCCACAGGTCAAAACTGTCCATGGGTTAAGATCTCTAAAACAGATCAGCAAACCTAAAGGTTAAGGCAACATGCTTTATATATATATATATGAAAATATGTATATCGGCCTGACTGGGTAGCTCTGTTGGTGGAGCGTCATCCCAATACACTAAGGTTGCACGTTCAATTATTGGTCAGGGCACTTAAAGTAGAAAACAAAAAAGTTCCAAAAAATTACATGTGAACAAAGAAGAACCTACACCATGAATTTATTTTGTTACATGGTTTTGAGAAGGATGCACACCAAAGTAGAATAACCCTGAGAACATTCCTATGACAGCTTAAGTAAAACTAAGGATTAAAAACATCATTTTATATTGAGTCAGCAGATGAGGCAGATATAGCTATGCCACCCCCAGGTGTGTGGCCCTGGAGAGATGTGACTTCACTTCTCTGAGACACAGTTTCCTGGACTTCTGAAATAAGGACCAGGGATCACATTGCCTCTCCCCACATCAGATGAATTTCATGAGCCTCCGTAAGAATGATCTGAATGGGAGAAACATCAAGAACTCTCTCCTGGTTTGTAGGTGAAACAAGCCCTTGAAACACTGAAATACCAAGGGGTCTAGATGAAGTGACGGCGGCAGCTGTGCCTCAAAGAAGGCAAGTAAGGGGAATGTGCTAAGGGAAAAGCCATCCAGACTCAACTCCAGCTTGATGGCCTTTCTGCCATCGCCTACATGCCAGAGAAAAAACTTCAGGTCACAAAGCCTCCATCATGAGTATAACTTCTGTCTTAATGAATCAGGGAACAGACTGGGAACAAACCAGAAGTCCCCCTCCTGTTCTCTAAATCATCCTAATCCCTCAAAAACTCAAAGGAGATGCAAAAGTCAGAGAACTCTCAGAAAAATACAACATTAGGCCACAAGAATATAGCTTTTCAGCCTAGACCTGTAGAAGTGGTATAAGATCCAAGGCACAGAGGAGAATTTGACCTTTTCACCAAACCCCAGTGTCTGAATCCTTAAAGAGGAAACAGGAAGATATCTAACATTAAAGGTTTCTGAGACATGGCACAGCAAATACCTGAAACACATCACAGCCAGAGAGTGGCACAGGGAGAAAATACAAAATGGTTCAAAGGACCAGGGGGTAGAATCAGTCAGTGAGAAAAAGAACCATATGATTGCACTTATATGTGGGACAGTAAACTGAAACTCCTGGACACAAACAGCAATGTGGTGGTTATCAGAGGGAAAGCAATGGGGGGTGGAGGCAGCCTAATATATGGTGACAAAAGATGGTTTGACTTTAGGTGGTGGACCCACAGTGCAATACACAGATCATGTATCACAGAAATGTACACTTGAAACCTATATGATCCTACTAGCCAAAGTCACCCCAATAAATTTTTTTAAAAGACAGAGTAGGGTGACAAACTGTGCTAGTACTAAGGGCTATGGCGGGTCCACTAACCATTTTTCAAGTAAAAGCCAGGCAACACAATCCTGCGCTCACATCACACAGGCTGTACCTTCACTGCTGGAGAAAGGGGTGGACAGGAGCAACTATGGGGCTCCCTGGGACTGCAGCCGCTGCCCCTGCCCCCACCAAGCTGTGGCCTCCCCTGTGTCCAGTAAGTTGACCAGTCCCTAGTTCCTTTCCCCTTTTCTCTGCCCACCAGGCTGGAAAACACGAAGAGCAAAGAAACCTCGCCTCAGTAGGGCACAGATGTAGGGTTCTGAGAGTCAAACTCCAACTGTTTTACTGTGGCTGGAACTGAATCCAGGTTAGCTAAAATATCACAGACTCCCCTTTTCTATAATAAAAATCCAACTACTGTAGAAATAAAGCTATTTTAAAGTCTAGCTTTATTAAAAGTTCTGTTTTCTCCATCAATCAGCTGCCCTAAAGGAATCTTTCTACATCCCAGAGGTTTCTTAAAAGGGGACGGCTAACTGTAATGCCCGGTACCCTTATCTTCTCTCAGTATACAACGCCCTTCCTCAGGCAGAATCCTAAAATAGCAGCAGTCCAAATTAGTATGGCATGAAGAGTAGGTACTTGGATACCATCTAATTTATGAGAAACCGGACCCCCACAGAGCCACCTGGTGGGCGTGAACCCCAGGCAACAATGGGACTGTTTTCAACCAAATCTTGCCCTAGCTATCACAGCTCCAGTCCACACTACATTCTACCCCACACCGAGGAGCCCCGGTCGTCCAGGGGGAAGAGGGCCAGCGAGCGGTGGCCTCACCTTTCAGCAGGTCCGACTGCACGTAGCCCAGTACATCGGAGACCCCCAGCTCCTGGCGGGAACAGGTGCCACCGTGAATGTGCAGCCAGGCAGGCTCGGCGAGGGCAGTGCACAGCGCGGTGATGGACAAGGCGCCGGGCAAGGCCGAAGCCAGGCTACGCTCCGGCTGCTTGGGCAGAGCGCTGCCTCCCGGGCTCCTCCGCCGGCGCCCGCCGGGCACCCCTGCGCCTCCGGGGGCGTACATGCCCGGGGCTGCCCGCCGTCGCTCCGGGGTCGCTGATGCTCGCCGCCGATCTCCGCGGAGCGCAGAGTCTGCCTGTTCTAAGGAGGAAGCAGGTGAGGAAGGCGCAGGGCTGCCAGGGCCGACACCGGAGGCTGGGCACGTTGGGACCAGAGACCGAGAGGAAAGAAGTGGGCTGCAGAGATTCAGGGGGCGGGGACGGTGACTGGGTCCCTGGAGTGGAGGTGCAGAATGACGACCCGGAGAGGGCTGGGAACCCCCTGGGAACTGGGAAGAACGGGACGGAAATATGGGTTACTGGTGGGAGAGAGACCCGGACCCGGAGTCTCAGCTAGAGGATGTCAAGGGAAGGAGGACTAGGCTGGGCCGCAGGGATCCGGGACCCAGGATCCAGGAACGGCGCTCTGGGACGCGACCTCTGCCCGAAGAAGGCCCTTCCCACACGGATCGCAGTTCCTCACCAGTCAGCAGGCCTCGGGGATGGCACCGTTCCGGCCCGTCACAGGCTCTTCAGCAGCCCGAGGTCGAGCGATCCCAGGCCCTGAAACCCAAACACCAGGACCTACCCGAGAACGACCCACTTCCGCTTCCTCTTCCTTTGCCTCCGCCTCCTCCCGCTCCCCGCCCAGTCTCCGCGAGCGGCCCAGCCTGACGCACCACCGCCTCCCTTCGTGGAGCCTCATGGGACTAGTAGTTCCCTGTCGTCCCTCTACGCTTCTCGCTGGCCTGGAGATTGACTACAACTCCCAGGAGGGAAAGCAGCGGCATAGAGGGCACTTCACTTCCTCGGGCGACTCGGGTCCTCGGGTGTAAGTGGCCGACCCGCGGCCCAGGAGGCCGAGGGAGGTCGGGGGAATCTGCGCGTTAGTATCAGCCGTTTGTGCTCAGTCCCTCTTCTCGTCTTGCGTTAAGTCGCCATGAAGGACTCGCTGGTGCTGCTGGGCCGTGTTCCAGCACACCCAGACTCGCGCTGCTGGTTCTTGGCCTGGAACCCCGCAGGAACTCTGCTGGCCTCGTGCGGGGGCGACCGCAGAGTCCGCATCTGGGGCACTGAGGGTAAGGCCCGGCCTGGGCGCACAATCCCGCCGCCGGGAGTTCCACGTGTTTGTAACGCGGATGCCGGCCTTAGGGGTGCGCCCAGGGAGAGCGGGAAGAGGCCACCTCGAGGTGGACTCGAGCCACTCCCGAGAAGACTTTTCGGACAAGTACTAGAAGCAGAAACATCAGGAGACAGCCTAGAACTGTGGAGGAAATTGTGATAGTTGCTGAGGCAGGAAAACGAGGAGAGAAGAGCAGTGGAAAGTAACCTGCATAGTAATTTGCGACGATGGCGAAATTTAAATTTTATCCCGAGAGCATTTGGAAGCCATTGACTTTTTTAAATTAGGAGGGTGACTCCCAGTATGATGCCTCCAGAGGAAGTAGGGTCAGTTACTTCTTCCTAAACGCATGTTGTTAAATATGCCTGTTGGACTTGGCCTCCAGCTTGGCTCTAGTATTAGTCCTAATTGTCAGATGGCATTGATAGTGTTTCAGTGGCTTCTGGTGCACCCAGCCCCAATGCCTGGCCTGGCCTCTGCTTTTAGGTGACAACTGGATCTGCAAATCTGTCCTTTCTGAAGGCCACCAGCGCACTGTGCGGAAGGTGGCTTGGTCTCCCTGTGGCAATTACTTGGCCTCTGCCAGCTTTGATGCTACCACTTGCATTTGGAAGAAGAGTCAGGATGACTTTGAGGTAACCAGGCTGGATGGGACCAGGATTGTTGGCCATTTGCTCTCCAGGGCTGATAAGAGAATTTGAGCCAACCTGGGTCAGTGGGCTGTCGGGGGTCTCTGTTGATTTTTGTCCTTCTTCCTTTTTCACAGTGTGTGACTACTCTGGAAGGCCATGAAAATGAAGTCAAGTCAGTGGCCTGGGCCCCATCTGGCAACCTCCTTGCTACCTGCAGTCGAGATAAGAGTGTGTGGGTCTGGGAAGGTCAGTCCTGGTCCCTCTAGATGCAATTGGGAGCCAGTGGACAGACAGCCCCACTATGTGACCCTGACAGGGTCAGCTCATGGGCTTCTTTCTGTTTTCTTCCCACAGTTGATGAAGAAGATGAGTACGAATGTGTCAGTGTCCTCAACTCCCACACACAGGATGTCAAGCATGTGGTCTGGCACCCAAGCCAGGAGGTAAAAGCCTGGCAAATTATCTCTCTGGGAAGGAATTCTCTTATGGAGGGTTGTCCCCAGCCCCCTTCTGCCCTTTAGCCTTAGCCTGGTTTTTATAGGGAACGCTATCTGTGGCCAAAAGACATTAATCCCTGTTACAAAGCTCCCTGGACTTGTCCTAGCAGGCAGAGATTTTGGAACCACAGAGAATTCTTGGGCCATAAGTGCTGTGTTTTCTTGCATTCCCAGCTGTTAGCTTCTGCAAGCTATGATGACACAGTGAAGCTCTATCGGGAGGAAGAGGATGACTGGGTATGCTGTGCCACCCTTGAAGGCCACGAATCCACTGTATGGAGCTTGGCCTTTGACCCCAGTGGCCAGCGTCTAGCGTCTTGCAGTGATGACCGTACCGTGCGCATCTGGCACCAGTATCTGCCAGGCAATGAGCAAGGTGAGGGAACAGGTGCAGAACTAAGAAGACTTCTCTCCAAGAAGTTAACAGTCTGCTCAGGGGCTAAGACACAGATGAAGCACAGCAAACTGGGGTGGAAGGGGAGATATGCCATGGGAGGGCACCAGAGAGTGCTGCAAGAATCAAGGAAGGCTATGTAGAAAGGCCGTTTTCACTGGAACTTGAAAGGGTGTATAGGATTTTGGGATTTTTTTTAATCCCACCTGAGGATGTGTTTTTATTGTTTGTAGAGAGAGGAAGAGAAACATCAATGTGAGGAAAACATATATTGGTTACCTCCTGGATGCTCCTCAACCAGACACCGAACCCACAACCTTTTGGTGCAGGGATGAGGCTCCAACCAGCTGAGCTACCTGGGCAGGGCAGGGTGTGTAGGATTTCAACACAAGAAGAGAAGTCTGAGTGAAAACAGAACAGCATGAGCAAAGGCAATAAAGATGGGAAAGCCTAGGTCTACTCCAGAAGCAGTGATTCCTTTAGGTGAAGCATTGGGTATATAAAAGATTTGGGGAAAAATAAGTGGGTCAGGCTGGCTGTTGGGTGGCCTTCGAAGGCAGGCTGCCTAGCCAGAAATAGTTTGCAGCAAAAGAGTTCTTCTTTTGTTGGTTGTTTGTTTGTTTTAAAGAACAGGACATTTCCTTTCCAGAATTCTATAAAAATGCCAGTCTGGCCACAGTCTGTAAGGCAGATGGGTGAAGATGGGGACAAATGGGTGAAGATAGGACTCATGATGGAGGGTTGGAGTGAGGGAGGGCAGATTAGGATCTCCTTTGCAGTGGGGCATTTAGTCCTCTCAGGTGCCCAGGATACACATGTGTCTTGGACTCATCTCTTGTGCAGGGGTGGCATGCAGCTCTGATCCCAGCTGGAAATGTATCTGCACTTTGTCAGGCTTCCACTCCAGGACCATTTACGACATCGCTTGGTGAGACCTCCATCTCCTTTCCCCATCTCCACTCCACCCCTCTGCAATTCGGAGACATTTTAGAAAAGTCAGACCTCTGTGCCCGCTTTGAGAGTGCACAGGAATAGAAAGCAGCACCTTTATTTCTTCAGAACTGGCCAGACTGTCCACCATGCTGGCTTAGAGCTGGCTGGCCGCACAGGAGTCCACAACAGACTCAGACCCAGGTTTGTACCTGCGTTAAGTTCCCAGACAATGAGAGTAGCGCTGGCCTCTGCAGATCACATGGCATTGTACCATCCAGAATTACTCATTAATGAAAGTGGATTCACGGCCAGGATTTTTATGGTTTGGTAAAACTGACCTCTACCCCTATGGAGTCTATAAAAGCCAATGCTATTCATATAGGAGAGCCAGTCAGGGGCAGTACTGGCCCTAAGAATCTATCCCTAGGAAATAATCCTAAATAATGAAAAAAGTTAATGTGTCTCTAAGCTTTATTTATATTAGCAAACATTTGGGAATAACAGAAATAGACTTAAGTGATAAAATTCAATGGCCCAATGTATCGCTTTTAAAAAACGGTTACACAAACTTCATGACAAAGGGAATTGCTTATGTTAAGTGACAAAAGTGTAAGTCAGAATCTTAGGTAGTTTTTTAGGTTAAGTATTTTGGGTGGTAAACCTAGATGGCAGCACTGTAATGCTTACGGGGTGATGTCTGTGGCTGTATATTAATTAGATAAGTTCTTTAATAAGAGATGTTAGCTGAAGGCTGAAGTTTGGGAAGAAAGCCAGGCTTAGCTGAAACCTGAAGTTTGGGAAGAAAGCCAGCCAAGGACTCTAGAATCAGTATCTTAATACTAACTTGCTGGGTTGGGAGGGAGCAGCCACCAGCATATGCACTGATGCATGTGTTCTTCTCAGGTGTTCGCTGACAGGGGCCCTGGCTACAGCTTGTGGGGACGATGCCATCCGAGTGTTTGAGGAGGACCCTGGCTCAGATCCACAGCAGCCCACCTTCTCTCTGACAGCCCACTTGCCTCAGGCCCATTCCCAGGATGTCAACTGTGTGGCCTGGAACCCCAAGCAGCAGGGACTCCTGGCCTCTTGCAGTGATGATGGGGAGGTGGCCTTCTGGAAGTACCAGCAGCCTGAAGTCCTCTGAACCACCTCTACTTAGGATAGAATTGTGGTTCCCTGGAAAATGTCGTAAGACTTTCCTAGCCCGAGGACCTAAAGGAGCAGTGTGGCCTTCGTTTAACTTGGTTCTCTCCCAGTCAGTCAGACCTGAGTAGATGTGCAGGGCCACAGAACCACAAGCTGTTTCCCTCCTTCAACATGGGGCCCTTTGTGAACAACTACAGAACAGCAGTACCTTGTAGTTATGCCACAGATTTTGTTTCCCTTTAGCTCACAGTGTCAAAGTTATGGGGGCCGGGTGAGCATACTACTTATAATCACCATGTCTGTATATAGGAGGGTTGTATCTCAGACCTTTCTGAAATTGTAAGTCTTATAGAAATAATCCCTGAGTCCCAAATCATGTTTATATTACTAGGATATTCACAATGTAAAACATTTCCATGATGACTCCTTTTCTGAAATAGGTCCTACCTTCCTGATTTCTGACTCCTTGCATTTAAGACATTTGATAAATATTGAAGGATATCTTTTTTGGTGTAGACTAGTTTAAAGACACCTCTGCTTTCCCTTAGAAACCCTCATGTATCTTCTGTGCCTGCAGGGAATGCCAAAAAAATAAATGGGGAAGGATGTGAACCCTAAAAGGTAGAGTTATTGGCTTCAGGCCATACATTTTCAATGGGGCTGAAAATTGATACTTGGGTGGAGGACAAAAAAAAACCCCATTTAAGATAATAGCTTGTCATCTAAGGGACCGCAGTACACTACACAGTATATCTGTGGTATTAAATTTTCATGGTGAGGGCAAATAGGGAAAAGGTTTCTGATACAGCTCCTTAGGAGAATGATAATGAAAAAAGATAGAGTTACTGCCATAGGCCATTATATCTGCCATCACTCAAGTTGTCTTGTGTCACCTGATAGGGGTTTTGGCTAGACTTTATTGACTTTTTATACCAGAGAAGTAATGACCACAGACTGAAGAGACTGCTGGGGCAATACAAAAAGCAGTGTTTCTCAAATGTGCTCTGTGTATCCCCAGGAGACCGGAGTGCCTGAGGGCTAAGGGGTCTGAGACTTGAGCTGTTGCCATGTTGGCAGGAGCCATGACATCAGCACCAATAGTGGTAGTCTTCATGGCCTTGCTCACAGCAAAAGTACTGCCAGCTCCACTTAGAAATGTCCGAGAACAAATACACATCAGTTGTATAAAATCTTGACCCTTGGGAACACCACCATGTTGTGACAATGGCAGCATGCAGACAGCACAGTGGAGAGTATCTTGAGGAAAAGCAGTTGTGTAGCTAAATTGCTGGCTGAAAGCTGTGTACCATTTTCACTTGCAGCAAATTATAGGATGAAAACCTGATTACTTGGCAGATGATTTCTGGGAAATGAATGAGCCTTTCACTCCAAGGGCAACTGATTCAGCATGGCCAATGATCAAGCATTCAAGCAAAACTTAGAATTTTGGAAAACTTGGATAAACACCATGCACTTGACATCTTTCCAATACACTGATACTCAGTGTACACAGCAGCTCCAGGCTCATCAAACCCTGTACTGGTCACATTTGCCAGGAAAATGTTTCAGTACTCAGCGCTTGCTAGAACTTGTATGAGCCACATTGCCCACCAAGAGGAAATGCTGCATTGTCAGTTTCAGCATTCATCATGAGTTCTGGAACAAATTAATGAATACCAAAGTACCACTGTATGTAGATTCTTCTGAGATTGGTGGTACTAACGTGATTTGTATGATGAAATGTGTCAACATTTAGAAAATCTGCATGATTCAGTGAATCAGCATTTTCCAAATGATTGTGTGATGTTACAGAATCATTCATGGGTAAGAGGTAAAAGACTTGTGGACTTAATGTTAACAGTACAGGAAGCTCATTGATAAGGTTTCAGATTCTACATTGCACTTGAGAAACTATCACTTGCGGAGTATCACTATAGCACCAAACAGCCAGTTTCCAAAGCTATTAAAAACTTCTTTTCTAACTGTATGTGTAAAGTCAGCTTTACTTCAACTTAAATAACATACACAATCATAGAAACAACTACAAGAATCCCACCTTTTAAATCAGGAACAAGATTTGTAAAAACGTTACAGACCACTCTTCTGCCTGTATTTGCTTTAGAAGTAATTTATGAAAAGTCAACATTAGTTATTTTTAATGGTTTTCATTTTTAATAAGTATCAGTGGATAATAAGCTCTTTGGGGCTCTTAACTTTTCTAGTGTAAAGGGCTCCTAAGACCAAATCATTTCCAAACAGCTGACCCAAGGAAGTTACCCTTGAGAATCATCTTTCAATTTTATGCAGTTATTCCTACAGAACAGGAGGCAAGAATTTGAAAAGGAAATTTTACAGATCAGAATCACAGTTATCAAACTACTAGACTTGGGCCATGCCCAGCTAGTGCACTTTAGTCCCTCCTGTGCTCTCTCCTTGTTGGAATGCGGGGAGAGGGCGGGCAGACTACAGATCTCAAGGAACTTCTAGTCTGTGATCTCTCCCTGCAGCTTAGTCCCTTCAGTGGTGGTGATACCTGGGTAACAAGGTGGGGGTCCAGGTATACTGACTAAAAAGAAGCTAACTAACCCTTCCTTCCTACCTGCTGAAATGGCTGCCTGTGACAACCCAAACAGCCTTGTCCTCCAGAAGTATTAATCCTAACTAGGTTCAGTGGTTAAATCTTTTTAACCAAAAGCCTCAGGTTAGGGGGAAAAAAACTTGATTTGGAATCACTGTGAAGACAAATGGTTTCTCCAATTTATTTTAGAATGTCTAGCTCTATTCAAAGAACCACTAATAGGATGCCTAAAAATGTGGTACAGTTTATGCTCAACAGCTATGTGACACCTGCACACACTGGATCCAAAGCCTGGATGGCAGAATAGCAAGAGGGAAATGGAGTGGGAGTGGGCTGGGACAGCACCTGCACTGACTGGCAGTTCTCCCTGCCCACGAACCTGGTCCCCACAGCTGTGATCCCACAGAACTGTCCAAGTTCCTAACTCAAGTTCAACTCCTCTTTGCCAAGGCCTCTGCACTCAATCCGAGTCACTGTCTGTCTCAGCTTCTTTCACATCCACACTGAATTTGTATTCCTGGTCACATCCCATATAAGCGTCACTCATGAAGTACAGAGTGTAGTTGTGGGCGCCAGTGGCCGGAGCCACGAAGTCAAGCTTCACCTAGAGAGAACAGGCAGGAATTAGGAGAGCAGGACATAGGGAGAGCACCCTGCCCATCTCAGAACAAATGCTGGGCCAGTGGACACTCACCTTGGCCTTCTGCTGCAGGGTCAGCCTCTTGATAGAGATGAGACTGTTGGACTTGGCATCTCCAATCACCACCCACCAGCCCTCTTCACGTTTCTGCAATGACCAGAAGCTGAAAATTTCAGCACGTGACACTACTTGACAGTCATATGCGACTGTGAGAATGGTTACAAAAGCAGGAAAACAAACCAGAAAGGAAGCTTTCTAAAATTTCCTCTTGAAATTTGACAAAACTAAAACTAAGATTTTGAAACTGTTATAAGGCATCTCAAATGAATTCAATGTTTAAGTGGCAGGTAGACTCATTTCTTGATTCAGGCTTACTTCCTTGTCCCAAAGTACCTTCTCCATTCACTACTTGCCACTGCTTCTGGGATTCCACTATTAGAGATCTAGACTATGTGGCCTGGAAGCTCTGAGTTCTTCAGACACCTTTTTAAGGCAAATCTGCCAGATTTAAAACAAAGGTGGAGCCAAGCCTGCCCACAGAAAGGATCCATCTGAGATGGGCCTTGCCTCTACCAAGAAGCTTTTACTGGCCACTCCACTCTGAGAAAGTCCAAGAATTCCAAATCAAAGCATCATTTCTCAGAATGTATTAAACCAGTTTGTAAAATTAAACTTAGTGTATCTGGGTTCAGCTTTCAACCTTCAATTACTCTCCCAAATAAGGAATCAGCTTTTCTTTCTGGTGTTAAAAAACAAAAAACTGGAAGCACAGTAAGTGCCAGAGAGAAATGAGAATGAAGAAACACCTAGAAAAGTCCAACTGTCCTGAAGCCATTTAATTTAAGGTTAAAGACAACTTGTGTTTTAACAGTCACAGATCGACAATAATGTTGAACTGCCATTTTTAACAATGACCAGTCATCTAAATTGTTTTTATAAAGAAAAAATGTTTTTTAAATATTTTATTTATCTACCTTTAGAGAGAGGGGAAGGGAGAAAGAGAAACATCAATGTGTGAGAGACACATGGAAAAGCTGTCTTTCACTCACCCCCAACTGGGGACCCAGGCATGTGCCCTAACCAGGAATCGAACCAGTGACCTTGGTTCGCAGGCCAGTGCTCAGTCCACTGAGCCACACTAGCCAGGGCCTAAGCTGTTTTAAGGCAGCCTTGACCAGTGTGGCTCAGTTGGTTACAATGCCCTGTAACCAAGAGACTGCAGTTCAATTCCTGGTCAAGGCTCATGCCTAGGTTGCAGGTTCAATCCCCGTTCAGGTACCATATGATCCCTGGTCTGGGCACATATGAGAGGTAAATGATTGATTGATTTTCCCTCACATTGATATTTCTTTCTCTTCCTTCCCCTCTCTCTGAAACCAATCGAAAAATGTCCTTGGGTGCAGATTTTGGGGGAAAAAAAAACTAAGACAAAAAAAAAAAAAAAAACAATAGCCGCAAGATTACTTCTCACTCTTACGACTCATGACTTCATTATTACTCTAAATCTCCCTCCTTAGTGACAATGCACCCTTGTAATCAGACTCTACCAATGGATAAAAGGCCTCCAGCAGACACCTGGAAAAGCCAGCTACCAAAACATACCTGTGGAAAGAGAGGTGCTATCACAGGACCCGTGACTTCCTCCTCCCGCTCCAGTTGTACCAGCACCACAACAGGCCCACCACTGATGGGGAGAAAAGCAGGGCAGCATATTAATGCTAGGGCGGTGGAGTCATAGCATACCAGCAGGACCCCACAGCAGGGAACCTGGCCCGCTCTGGTTCACCTGCGAATGATGTCCTTGTCCACCACTTCATAAGACAGCTCAATATTAGGGTAGCGGTTACAGAACCGGGCCACATCTGCCATCTGGCTGTCAGACAGCTGAAGCAGTGCATTTCGCTCTTCATCTTCCATTTCCATGATGTCGAAAACACTCTCCACTCCCTGCAGAGGGTATTCAGAGGTCAGGAGAGAAGAGACCACATGCTAACAAAAAATGAAACGGGCTCCAAGTAACAGCTAATTTTCAGCCTACATGGTCAGCCATCTAAAGATATGACTTCAGAGAGAATATGGCCCGCATTCACCAGGCTCTTTAGCATCTCAAAGTATAACACCTTCAGAGGAACCAGAACCAGGAGTCTCCCCCGCTGTGACTCACCCCCCACACAACCCCAAGTCCAGGACACTCAGCTCTCAGGTTCAGCCAGGTCTGGATCCAGCTCACCTTGTCTGTGCAACGTTTGATGTGCTCTGAGGTGAAGTGTGGCAGCTGTTTCAGGTATGAGTCCTTGGACCACATGGCTTGGGTGACCATCTGGGCCAGTTCCATGGCTGCCAGAGCAGGACTTAGCCACCCATTGCTGGAGAGGACATCCACACAGGCCTGGATAAGCCGG